TTTTATAAAAGATCCTAAATAACAAAATATCAACATCTTCAAACAAATGAGTATTTAGCCCCCGTTACACTGTCAAAAACTTTGATTAAAAAACTTGGTCAAAGTCAATTTTGACCAAGTTTTTGATGGTGTAACATGCTTTTGACGGGACTTTGGTGGAATAGAAACCATCCTATTTCTCGTCAAACTTTGATTAAAGTTTGATGACGTTGATTTAATTTAGCCAATCAGACTGCAAGGAACATTTAATTAGTCAAAATTAGTCAACTATTTTCGACTGACGAGATGTTGGAAGAATCAATTGATTTGTTTCAACAACGAGCAGCCATTCTCGGGACCAAATATGCCTTTGCCTACCCCGACGCCGCCTTCTCAACATGGCAATACACAAAATACATATGACAACAGCAAACAATTCTTCGTCAGTAGCATCCACCTGGGCAAGATAATTCCCACCAAAACTTTGACGGCCTGTCAAAAACTTTGATGAGTGTAAACAGCCCAACTTGGACCAAGAAAACTTGGTCAAAGTTTTCTTTGACTAAGTTTTTTATCAAAGCTTTTGAGAGTGTAACGGGGGCTTTATGTACTAAAAAGAACAACAATATGTTGTCAAACCGGACAACAGTGGACGTGTCCAGCATAGGAAATTGTAAAGGTGAAAACATGAAAACTCATTATCTCTCGTGTCCACCATTAGCTTCAAGGGCTGCCTGGCACTGCATGTCCATGGACGGACTGATAGTACGGATCATACGTCGGGTAATGGACTGATAGTACGGATCATACGTCGGGTAATGGACTGATAGTACGGATCATATGTCGGGTAATAGACTCATGGTACGGATCATACGTCGGGCAATGGACTCATAGTACGGATCATACGGCGGGTAATAGCCTGATTGTACGGATCTTACGTGGGGTAACGGACTGATAGTACGGATCATACGTCGGGTAATGGACTGATAGTACGGATCATACGTCGGGTAATGGACTGATAGTACGGATTATACGTGGGGTAATGGACTGATAGTACGGATCATACGTCGGGTAATGGACTGATAGTACGGTTCATACGTCGGGTAATGGACTGATAGTACAGATCATACGTCGGGTAATGGACTGATAGTACGGATCATACGTCGGGTAATGGACTGATAGTACGGACGATACGTCGGGTAATGGACTGATAGTACGGATCATACGTGGGGTAATGGACTGATAGTACGGATCATACGTCGGGTAATGGACTGATAGTACGGATCATACGTCGGGTAATGGACTGATAGTACGGATCATACGTCGGGTAATAGACTGATAGTACGGATCATACGTCGGGTAATGGACTGATAGTACGGATCATACGTCGGGTAATGGACTGATAGTACGGACGATACGTCGGGTAATGGACTGATAGTACGGATCATACGTGGGGTAATGGACTGATAGTACGGATCATACGTCGGGTAATGGACTGATAGTACGGATCATACGTCGGGTAATAGACTGATAGTACGGATCATACGTCGGGTAATGGACTGATAGTACGGATCATACGTCGGGTAGTGAACTGATAGTACGGATCATACGTTGGGTAATGGACTGATAGTACGGATCATACGTCGGGTAATGCTACCAGTCCGGTCTGTAGTAATTGTTTAAGCTGTTGCAATGTCTGTGGCTCAGGTTCACGTCGTATGCGGCGATCAATTGCGATTTAGAGGGTCACAGGAAAATATGAACATTGTGATTCTGTTGCGACAATCAGTTGTAAGGATTGACAGTGTATTGTATCAGATTCATTGAGGTAAGAACCGAAAACCCAAACATAAATTTAAACAAAAACAAACCCCTTTTGATCCTTAAATAATTTATCTTTTGTGTGTTCAATGTAATTACACCTGGGTCAGTACACTAGCGGCATGAAAAGGGAGCATTAGGCAACTAAATTGTGTAGACTAAAATACGACCCGGAGTTTCTGCAAGGCAGGCGTTTATTGTAGTAAGCCAAGCACCCGAGCCTAACCACCTGGGCCCCGTTCCACAAAGTGATCCTAGCGCTAAGTCGATCGTAACTACCATTCTTTAACACTGACTTACGACAATCGTAGCGCTAAGATCGCTTTGTGGAACGGGGCTCTGGACCACTGTTGTCGGATCTTACGACCAGCGTTCGTGTGATAGAGGCAACATGACAAAGCCTGCGCCGGAATCCTACAGAGGCGCTCCTTAATATAGAGCAACGGAACACCTTTAGCATACGTTGGCTCAAAAATACTGATTGACGACTGACCATAAAGGGTTTAATCTTTGATCATTAAAAAAAATACGGCTCGGAATTCACTCTTTAAAAAATTATGATCATTCGCCATTTTGTACAGAATGAATTTAAAAGGCCTAATTATATTTTCACCACACCTGGTAGGTAAAACATGACACTTCTGGAAAACACGACGAGGAGACTAATTTGACCGGACCACACTAACTTAAGTGGGTTAAGAGTAAAATGGTTTTAGTCCTAAAGACCGGGAGCTTCAAATCCTATTTCTGTTAAAGCGCACATATCTTCATTGTCTTAATCCCCACTGAGTGACAATACGGATGTCGTCACCCTGCTGCTGATGCTGCTGCTGCTGAGGATGATGATCCCGACAATGATTAAGCTGTTTCAGCTATCACATTGGTCACACAGCATACACTCGATACGCCATATTTCACCCTGGGCATGGTCATATCGCATTACCGGTGTACATAAATCAGCATATGATCCTTGACAAACGTTACTGACAGCTGTCGTAGTTTGTGGAGTTAACCGACATGGTGGATGCAACGAGAAAACATTCGTCCTCTTTCCCCGATGGGTTGAATATGGAAGATAAGAAGGTAATCTATTGGGTAGGATCGATGGTCCATTACTTTGTTCGTGAGTAAACACGGAGTAAATTTGAGTGGACATAGAGGTTATCACGCGAGTGTGTTTGGGGATGGTAAATATCCTGTATTAGGAATAAACACTATGTATTCCTAATGCAGGATATTTACCATCCCCAAACACACTCGCGTGATAACCTCTTTATCATATAATGTCATTCTTTAATTCTGTGCTTCAAAATCGCTTTCCCTCTCTCACAAACATTACCGAAACATTGCGAGTTTTCCTGCAATGCGCGCATTAATATTTATTACGTCACAGGGTAAGTGATGTGTCAGTCGGACAGTGACAGTAGCAAATATAGTTCCAACTGAAATCTGTTTCTTATACAGTGGCGATGCAACATATACGCAAAACAACAATTGTTTTTAATTGCCTTTCGCGGCAATCCATCGGTCTGTCCGCTAGAGTAACTGCCCTTTGTCAAAGGGAAGCTACTCTAACCCTAGTCTTTGAGACGTCACGGCCACGGTCAAACGTTGTTGACAGTCGGTCTGTCCTGTCATTACGATAAGAAGTGTACTCAGATGTTCACATAGCGACAAAACGAAACAAGGTAACAATTCAAACATATTTCCGTCAAATCCAACTATTTTAATTTGTGGAGAAGGTTTCAAGCCGCAGATGTCTACAAGCACAGATATGGCTACTGATCCCGTTTGGCTAGGCCGCGTGCCCTCGCCAAATTGTTTCGAAATTTATATCTCCAAAGTTGCCAAAACTTATAAAATGCCTTAGCTGCGTCACAGTTAGACACAGATTTTCAGTATATTAGACTGTTCTTTTCATAATGATAGCAATTATCCCTGTAGTTTATCTAGATTCCCGATGGTTAATTCTGACTCGATCGCCGAATGACGAGTGCGACGCCATGTTTGTTTATAAACAGTGAAAGTAGTCCCTACTTGACCTGTGATATTTGCATCTCTATCCGCATATGACCCCAACGGATATCGTTTTTATCCGTTGGCTTTATCCTGCCGAGAAACCTACCCATTATATGATAAAGGAATATATCTGTTGAGTAGACGGGAATATATTTGTTGAGTAGACACGAATATATCTGTTGAGTAAACGGTAATATATCTGATGAGTGGACAGGAATATATCTGTTGAGTGGACAGGAATAAATCTGTTGAGTAGACAGGAATAAATCTGTTGAGTAGACAGGAATAAATCTGTTGAGTAGACAGGAATAAATCTGTTGAGTGGACAGGAATAAATCTGTTGAGTAGACAGGAATAAATCTGTTCATTGGACAGGAATAAATCTGTTGAGTAGACAGGAATAAATCTGTTGAGAATAAATCTGTTGAGTAGACAGGAATAAATCTGTTGAGTGGACAGGAATAAATCTGTTGAGTGGACAGGAATAAATCTGTTGAGTAGACAGGAATAAATCTGTTGAGTGGACAGGAATAAATCTGTTGGGTAGACAGGAATAAATCTGTTGAGTGGACAGGAATAAATCTGTTGAGTAGACAGGAATAAATCTGTTGAGTAGACAGGAATAAATCTGTTGAGTGGACAGGAATAAATCTGTTGAGTGGACAGGAATAAATCTGTTGAGTAGACAGGAATAAATCTGTTGAGTGGACAGGAATAAATCTGTTGAGTAGACAGGAATAAATCTGTTGAGTGGACAGGAATAAATCTGTTCATTGGACAGGAATAAATCTGTTGAGTGGACAGGAATAAATCTGTTGAGTAGACAGGAATAAATCTGTTCATTGGACAGGAATAAATCTGTTGAGTGGACAGGAATAAATCTGTTGAGTAGACAGGAATAAATCTGTTCATTGGACAGGAATAAATCTGTTCATTGGACAGGAATAAATCTGTTGAGTGGACAGGAATAAATCTGTTGAGTGGACAGGAATAAATCTGTTGAGTAGACAGGAATAAATCTGTTGAGTGCACACGGATTTATCGGACGTGTGGCCGGCAATATATCGGATGAGTAGAGGAAACTGTGTAAACCTGAGAAAACGGGCACATGTAAGTTAAGTAAGCAGCATTATTCCTGTTCCCTGACACACTATATATTGTGCTCCATCCACCTGTTCCAGGTTAAAGCCGTCCACGGACTGACAATATGGACTGCCGCAGTGTTCATCGTCGGGGAGATTGCAGGGTCGGGGGTGCTGGCCTTGCCGAGTGCTGTCGAGGGAGCAGGTAAAGACCATCGGAATTGTAGTTTTTCATTAAAAAAACTTGTCAATCATAATCTAAACGGTGGATGGTGACGGAGGGCATCAAGCGAGGTGCACCAATAACACAACAGGAGATATGACGTATAAACACATACACTGTTCACATATAATATTATACAAGGTAAATATTGAGGAGATAAACGTTAACCATAAAAGAAATCCAAGATGGCTGCCATGTTTTCAAGATGGCAGCTAGTCGCGTCATCATTCTATGACTGTAAGTTATACTGATGCAGACCTTGAATATTGTATGCGGATATCTATGCTTGCCACCTTGCTGAGGCGAATTCTACCATACTCTCAAATTCTCTTGTGTCCTAACACACCAGCCATATTTTTTAAAACTCACCTCAATTTCCATATGGTCTTATTATTTCCACAATATTCTCACCTCTGAATGCATATGTTTATCGAGATTGTATTTCTTGATTATGCTACTATATTCATATTGTGCTGTCACATGCACATGCATTTGCGTCGCTTGTGACATTCTCTTGGTCGACTACATTTGGCAATTCCTTGTCAGTTCATGTATACATGTTTGAAAGGAATGGGCACATCAGGTTAAATTCTGACTTTTAACGTTACAACATTATATACACATGCTATTAAATTATCCATGCTAGTAAATGAACATGTAACCCTAAATGCATATGACAACCGTTTCAAATATACGTGTCATTTGCCCGCCATATTTGCACCTTTTAATGCGGGTCTTGACAACAAAGAAATATAAATGCAAATGAATATGTTTCAGAGGTGTGTAAATATGGTTTTCATTTTCTTGTATTTCTAGCCTGTGCAATAATCGTAAGAGCCGTGAATATAGGACACGGAAATCTAATATGACTAGGTTCAGATTTATACGCTCCTACATGTTCGGTCATATGACTGGGTTCAGCTTTATACGCTCCTACATGTTCGGTCATATGACTGGGTTCAGCTTTATACGCTCCTACATGTTCGGTCATATGACTGGGTTCAGATTTATACGCTCCTACATGTTCGGTCATATGACTGGGTTCAGATTTATACGCTCCTACATGTTCGGTCATATGACTAGGTTCAGATTTATACGCTCCTACATGTTCGGTCATATGACTAGGTTCAGATTTATACGCTCCTACATGTTCGGTCATATGACTAGGTTCAGATTTATACGCTCCTACATGTTCGGTCATATGACTAGGTTCAGATTTATACGCTCCTACATGTTCGGTCATATGACTAGGTTCAGATTTATACGCTCCTACATGTTCGGTCATATGACTGGGTTCAGATTTATACGCTCCTACATGTTCGGTCATATGACTAGGTTCAGATTTATACGCTCCTACATGTTCGGTCATATGACTAGGTTCAGATTTATACGCTCCTACATGTTCGGTCATATGACTGGGTTCAGATTTATACGCTCCTAAATGTTCGGTCATAGGTACGTTGAATAGTTTGATAGGCATTACTTAGAAGCTGACGGAGGACAAAGTAGACACAAGTTAAGGATAACAATTTCTTTGTTTACTGTAAAGACGACTTTTCGGTATACCGTTGTCAAGGAAGGTAGTCAAGTCAAGTCAAGTCAGCCTTGCTTGACAACGGTATACGGATCTATACCGAAAGGTCGCCTTTACAGTAAATAAAAACATTGTTATTCCAAATTTACTACTTTGTCATAGTTAAGTTGAGGATTGTCATGTTGACATTAATTTGCATTTGTTTCAAAGCGTGAGCTGGTTGGTGTAAAGCAACAACGTCAGTGACACAATGGGGTAATTTATAGTACACATGTTGAGGACATACACTTGTCTCTGCACTGACCACAACCACAGAACATTGAATTTTCCCCTGTGTCCCCTGCGTATGTGTTACCCCAGGCGTGTCCACACTGCAGTTTAAGCTTAAGAGTGTCTTAGAGAGTGTAACATGTAATCTTAATGACCTTAGGATTGCAGAACTTATGACACTCCCCCCATGTTCATTGAACCTCGTCTAAGTCGTCTAAGGCGTCGCGATTCGCTGTGCAGAGTTGCGTCCCTTGGGCACGCCAGACACCTACGATTGTGGGTTCGAATCCCGGTTCGCCCCGATTATGTTTCTAGGTTTGTCTGCACCATACCCGTGCTCGTGGGTTTCACCGAAGTGGTAAACGTCTGAGACCTGCATCACTTCGGGCTTTCCACATTAAGCTGACATGCCGAGATATGACTGGAATACTGTTAAAAGCGGCGTTATTTCAGACTGAAAGAAAATATTCTGTTTCAAACAAATATCCCAGACCAAACAAGAATATATAATGGACGGTCCCTACGTACAATTCTAATATTAGGTTGGCAAATAGTTTGTTTTAGTCCTAATTTGTGTTTACATAGAGTGTTCACAGTCATACACAATCTGCTGGGAACGAATAAGGCGCCATAAACAATACAATGATATACAGTCAAGGTCGTTTAAGGGTTGTGTGAGGTTCAGAGTTAATATCTGTATACATTATTGCCATGTTTGTCAGTTTTGTCAAGACGTTTTCCTGTATTTCTTGCTCTGTAGGTGAGGTGAAATGGGGTTTAACGTCGCGTCCAAGATTATTGCACTTATATAGCGACGTGCATGTACGTGTGTGTGTTTGTGTGGCTGCTTGTACTAGTCCGGACTGATGCCGATTTATAGTGCTAGCTCACTGAGATACCATGCCGCAGTTTAACATGAATACCCCACTCAGACACAGTATACTGACTCCGAGCCGACCAGTCCTTGTTTTAGCCCCTTATTGACGAGCGCCAGACAGGGTGACAACAAGTACCATCTTTTAACGTCTTTTGGTATGACGCGGCCGGGGATCGAACCCCGGACCTTCCGCTCTCCGGGCGGACGCTCTACCACTAGACCACGGAGGTGGTCTCTTGCTCTGTAATTGCTCTGTAAATGCCACAACAGGACACCGTGAACGCCAAGGTCTTCCAAGTACAAAATATCAGGTCAAGTAAGTTCATCTCTACAATCCACGAGTTATCAAAGCAACATGATACAATATTCAGAGATTCAAGTATTCAGGTCATAAATGTATTGGATTTGGACCACTCAATTAAAATAGGAATGCGTTATTGATCACTAAAATAATTAAATGTTATCACAACGATATTTTGCCTTTGTTCCTTAAAGCGTTAAACACGTTCAGGGCTAAACTACGGTGGCCCATAAGGGACATGGAGTCTGTTTTTCAATATTTTGATATTTCACTATCATATATGGTAACCTTTTGCAAATTAACACAATTTGTCATACAAATATGTGATAAATCATGTATAAAAACAACAGAAAACATGAGAAATGTACTTTCAATTAGCTATTGAATCGCTTTAATGTTAAGCGAAAATGTCAAAAACTAAAATGTAAATGTCAAAAACAAAAACGAAAAAGTCAAAAACCAAAGCGAAAACGTTAAAAACTAAAATGGAAATACAGAAAACTATTTCCACCGCGGTGATAATATTTCCACTGCGGTGGAAATATTATCACCGCGGTAGAAATGTTTTTTACTGCAGTGGAAATATTATCACCGTGGTGGAAATAGTTTTTTTTTTTTTCATTTTTGTTTTTGACATTTTCATTTAAGTTTTTGACATTTTCGCTTTTGTTTTTGACATTTTCATTTTAGCTTTGACATTTTTGTTTTTGTTTTTTGACATTTTCATTTTAGTTTTTGACATTTTCGTTTCTCTTTTCAGCGATTCAATATCTTCGTTACACATGATTTATCACATATTTGTAAGACAAATCGTCTTAATTTGCAAAAGGTTACGAGAAAAGTAAGTGAAATATCAAAATATGGAAATGGGCCACCGTACTTATGGGCCACCGTACTAAACATATCGAGAGCCTGTGTTATAACTAAACAATTGTTACAGTAACCTTTTTAAGTGACATTTTGAAGTTGGTATATTGAACAAGGGTATTGTTACAGCATATCTGGGCTAAACTACGGTGGCCCATAAGGGACATGGAGTCTGTTTTTCAATATTTTGATATTTCACTTACATATATGGTAACCTTTTGCAAATTAACACAATTTGTCATACAAATATGTGATAAATCATGTATGAAAACAACCGAAAATATGGAAAATGTACTTTCAAGTAGCTATTGACACGCTGAAATGTGAAGCGAAAATGTCAAAAACTAAAATGTAAATGTCAAAAACCAAAACGAAAATGTCAAAAACTAAGATGAAACCACAGAAAACTATTTACCACTATTTCCACCGCGGTGAAAACTATTTCCATCGCGGTAGAAATATTATCACCGCGCTTGAAATAGTTTTCTGTATTTTCATTTTAGTTTTTGACATTTTCGCTTTTGTTTTTGACATTTTCATTTTAGTTTTTGACATTTTCGTTTTTGTTTTTTGACATTTTCATTTTAGTTTTTGACATTTTCGTTTCACTCTTCAGCGATTCAATATCTTCTTTACACATGATTTATCACATATTTGTAAGACAAATCGTGTTAATTGGCAAAAGGTAACGATAAAAGTAAGTGAAATATCAAAATATGGAAAAACAGACTCCATGTCCCTAATGTGCCACCGTAAATAGCGAACAAATTAAAATATGTATTTATAATAGTATTTATTAGATTTGAAAGTGATAAGAATCATTATACGTTAATTTGATATTTGAAGATATTTTGCACAATTGATAGATTCTGATCATGTATGTACATGTAGAACAGTAACAACAGAGAGTATCGATATCGGGAACATGTACCTTTCAAACTACCGTTATAACGAACTCATGGGGACAACTAATGTGGGTGGGTGGGTGGGTGGCTGTTTTTTCTAGTCCAAACTGATGCCGATTTATAGTGCTAGCCCACTTGTTTAAGCCCTTTCATGTCGAGCGCCAGACAGGGTAACAACAAGTACCATCTTTTGGTATGACGCCGCCGGGGATCGAACCCCGGATCTTCCGCTCTCCGGGTGGACGCCCAAAGGCGGTCTTACTACTACTACTACTACTACTACTACTACTAATCGAGTATATGTGCAGTGTGTTGAGAACAGAAGCAACCCTGCAGAGTCCTTCGCTTGGATGAAGTCAGCTGCCCGAAAAAGTGAAACAGAAGGCTTTCTGTTTGCTGCTTAAGACCAGTCACTTACCAACTCGAAAACGTCAATGTGTGATTTTGCATCAATATCGAAATTATGAAATGCAGAATATGCAATGAATTTAATGAGACTGTCCAACACATTTTCAGTGGATGTCCTGCTTTGGCACAAACACAGTATCTTAAGCGGCATGATGGATTTGCTCGATTCTTTTATTACCGTCTTCGCCATGCTTGTGGTTTTGACACAGAGGTCCATCCATGGTACGACCCAGAATATGTAGAGGGCGTCATGGAAAATGATAAATGCAAAATTCTTTGGAATAAGACCGTATACAGTTTCAGACGTATCGAGGCCAACAAACCTGATCTTGTCCTTTTTGATAAATCATATGAAATCATTTATATCATTGAATTTTCTGTCCCTTTGGACACTAATGTGATTGACAAGATTCAGGAAAAAAAATGGCAAATAGGCAGACCTCGCTTTCGAAATGTCACACTTGCATCCCAAGTACCAAGTTGGCCGACTCCCCATTGTTCTCGGTGCCTTAGGTTTGGTACCTCCCAATCTGTTGACTGACATCTGGAGAGTACCCGCGTTTGCTACCAGGAATACAGCCCTTCTGACAATCTGGGTAATGCAGAAGGCTGCAGTGTTGGGGAGTCTTCACATTCTCCGAAAAGTTCTGGGTGGGTTTGACTAGGCAGCGCTTCCTGGGAGATGTCTCATTCGCTGTCTGGGCTGCGTGTAGAGGGGGCAAGGGCCCTGAGCTGATGATGAGCCTAACCAGCCTGACTGTGCCAGGATCACCCAAACCCTCTTTGCTGCTTTTTTTAAAATCTGTAAATAATAATAATAATAATAATGATAATAATAATAATAGAATGAATTACCTAGGAACATTTGTTTTCCCTTCAGTTTGTTGTGTCTTTTCATAAATACGAATATTAATATGACAGAGGCTTTGACGTTTTCAAATAGCTTGTCGCAGAAATATATTTGTCACAATTCACGTCTTTGTGGGAGTCACATTCGCTCTGCAGATTCTCGTCCCTTAGGCGTGCCGTAATCCTATAACCATTGGTTGTAACCGTCATAGTTATTCTTCTTGGTTTGTCAGCACCATATACATAAAGTCCGTGAAGATCCGGGTTGGAATTGGCGGCTTTCAGCAACTCAAGCTTGCCGAAAGAGGCAACTAACTGGATCGGGTGGTCAGGCTCGCTGACTTGGTTGATGCATGTCATCGTATGCATTTGGGTAGATCGATGCTCAAGTCAATCACTGCTTTATTTGGTTGAGACCCGATTATTTACAGACCGCCGTCATATAGCTGCAATATTGTTGAGTGCGGCGTTAAACGCCAAAACACATATGCATACCCATGTTTGTGTGTTCCTCCCTATTTGATCGATAGGAAGAATAAAGACTTGTTCTCTTAATTATATGTGTATGTAATATTTGTGAAATTGTGAAACAGTCAGTTAGTCAGTAATGCCCATCGCTCCTCCCGAAGCATAGGCCGCCGACAACAGTCCGCCAGAGTCCTCGGTCCTGGGCTGCCCCCTCTAGTTGTTTCCAGGTGTGTCCCGTCTTCTTGCTGTCTGCCTCGAGGTCCCGTCGCCAGGTGTTTCTTGGCCGCCCTCTTTTTCGTTTTCCCTGGGGGTTCCATGACAGCACCTGTCTGGTGATGTTACTGACTGGCTTCCTCAGGGTGTGCCCAATCCATCCCCATCTTCTGCGCCGGATCTCATCTTTGGTTGGTACGCTGCCACAGGTCTGAGTTGCTGATGGTGTTGCCCCAGTGGATCTGGAGGATTCTTCTCAGGCAGCTGTTGATGAAAGTCTGCACTTTCCTGGTGGTGGTCTTTGTTGTCCTCCATGTCTCGGCTCCATACAGTAGCACTGACTTGGAGTTGGAGTTGGAGTTGAACAGCCTGATCTTCGTACGAGTCGATACCACCCTGGAGCTCCATATGTTCTTCAGCTGCAAGTATGCTGTCCTTGCCTTGCCGATTCTTGCTCTGACGTCTGCGTGAAACAGCAGTCCCCGAAACGAACTAGTTAAGCTACTTTATCATAGCCGACAAATTACGCTGTCACCGAGGATTTCAATGTTAAACATGTTAACATGAAAACATAGTACCTTCATCAAAACAAATAAATGAGAACTAAACGCAGCAGAGAGTAGACGATCACTGTCACATGTTACCGGGTACCCCTTTTGAGATGCCGGGACAGGACAGGAATCAGTACTCCATGCATTTCCTAAGGGCCGACTAATGATGATCGGGTTCACAATGTGTGACCTGAATGACTGTGTCGCAGCGTACCCCGACGGTTGGGTTGGTGTTCATGCTGTTAAGCCCTAGTTGGTCAAGATTATTTACATGGCCTAGAACGGGAACTTAGCGTTACGACGATTGTAAGCCAATGATAAAGAATGGGAGTTACGATTATCTTAGCGCTAAGGCCGCTTTGTGCAAGCGGACCTAGGTGTGCGACACATCTGGAATACTGGTAACGTTGAGAAGTAGAACATCACATGCTCTCCCTCAAGTGTTATATGGGACCAAAGGAGCAGCTACTGGCCTGGTATAAACACCATCTGTTCAACAAACATGATATGGCTTGCAGTGCGATTATTATTATTACGAGATACACGCAATAAGCAGATTACCATGTCATCATCAATAATATAATTGACATTGGTATTAATAATCCTACGAATATTTGATGTCAGATGAACCAAAGATTAAGCACCACGCTGATGTGAATATTGGATATATTACTAACAAAAACACCAGAATGATTCTAGGTATAATTGATCTCCAGCGGGCTAATCGTATGAGTTACCAGGATGTGGTGGTGTGTCAGATGTTGGGGAGTTCTGTGTGGGTGTGTTGGTAGCGGTGCTAGAAGGTGGTGGTGTGTCAGATGTTGGGGAGTTCTGTGTGGGTGTGTTGGTGGCGGTGCTAGAAGTGGTGTGTCAGATGTTGGGGAGTTCTGTGTGGGTGTGTTGGTGGCGGTGCTAGAAGGTGGTGGTGTGTCAGATGTTGGGGAAGTTCTGTGTGGGTGTGTTGGCGGCGGTGCTAGAAGGTGGTGGTGTGGGTGGTGGATGTTAGGGAAGTTCTGTGTGGGTGTGTTGGTGGCGGTGCTAGAAGGTGGTGGTGTGTCAGATGTTGGGGAAGTTCTGTGTGGGTGTGTTGGTGGCGGTGCTAGAAGGTGGTGGTGTGTTAGATGTTGGGGAAGTTCTGTGTGGGTGTGTTGGTGGCGGTGCTAGAAGGTGGTGGTGTGTCAGATGTTGGGGAAGTTCTGTGTGGGTGTGTTGGTGGCGGTGCTAGAAGGTGGTGGTGTGTCAGATGTTGGGGAAGTTCTGTGTGGGTGTGTTGGTGGCGGTGTTAGAAGGGGATGGTGTGTCAGATGTTGGGGAAGTTCTGTGTGGGTGTGTTGATGGCGGTGCTAGAAGGTGGTGGTGTGTCAGATGTTGGGGAAGTTCTGTGTGGGTGTGTTGGTGGCGGTGCTAGAAGGTGGTGGTGTGTCAGATGTTGGGGAAGTTCTGTGTGGGTGTGTTGGTGGCGGTGCTAGAAGGTGGTGGTGTGTGCGATGTTGGGGAAGTTCTGTGTGGGTGTGTTGGTGGCGGTGCTAGAAGGTGGTGGTGTGTCAGATGTTGGAGAAGTTCTGTGTGGGTGTGTTGGTGGCGGTGCTGGAAGGATGTGAGTGAGTATTGTTTTACGCCGCTTTTAGCAATATTCCAGCAATGTCACGGCGAGCGACACCAGAAATGGGCTTCACACATTGTACCCATGTGGGGGATTCGAATCCGGGTCTTCGGCGTGACGAGGGAACGCTTGAACCACTACTGTGTGTTAGTGGCGGTGCTAGAAGGTGGTGGATAACGATGTTGGTGTGTCACAAGATGTTGCAGAAGTTCTGTGTGGTTGTGTTAGTGGCGGTGTTAGAAAGTTAGGCATAGGAGAAGGTGTGAATGCGATTCGGATGAGAAATAGGTATGGTTGTGGTGGGTATCGATGGTGATTGTTATGTTAAGTATCACATATTATCACGCCCAATTGCGTGGATTGATGCTCATGATGTCAATCACTGGATGGTCTGGTCCAGACTCGATTATGTACAGACCGCCGCCCTGTAGCTTGACTACTGCTGAGTGCGGCGTTAAACAACAAACAAACAAACAAACAAACAAACAAACAACATATTATCACGAAGTACACAACTAACATCTCTATTCCTAGGCTGGATCGGGATGGTGATGCTGTTCCTGTGCTGCTTCATCTCCACCTACACCGGCGACGTGCTGGGGACGGCCTGGTGCATCATCCAAGACCGCTATGAGCAGTACCGGGGCCACATCAGATACCCCTACCCGGCCATTGGGGAGATCACGTACGGGAAACCTGGAAGGTGGGTCACGTGGTGCGAGAGTTGGTACCTTGCTTCACCCTAGGTCAGTGGTGAGAGAGATGGTAACTTGGTTGCCCCTAGGTCACGTGGTGAGCGAGATGGTAACTTGGTTGCCCCTAGGTCAAGTGGTGCGAGAGTTGGTAACTTGGTTGCACCTAGGTCACGTGGTGAGCGAGATGGTAACTTGGTTGCACCTAGGTCACGTGGTGAGAGAGTTGATAACTTGGTTGCCCCTAGGTCACGTGGTGAGTGAGATGGTAACTTGGTTCACCCTAGGTCACGTGGTGAGAGAGATGGTAACTTGGTTCACCCCAGGTCACGTGGTGAGAGAGATGGTAACTTGGTTCACTCTAGGTCACGTCGTGAGAGAGTTGATAACTTGGTTGCCCCTGGGTCACGTGGTGAGTGAGATGGTAACTTGGTTCACCCCAGGTCACGTGGTGAGAGAGATGGTAACTTGGTTCACTCTAGGTCACGTCGTAAGAGAGTTGGTAACTTGGTTGCTCCTAGGTCACGTGGTGAGAGGAGTTGGTAACTTGGTTGCCCCTAGATTACGTTGTGAGAGAGTTGGTAACTTGACTGTCCCTGGGTTGCCTAGAAAGAGAGTTGGTAACTTGGCTGCCCCTAGATCACGTAGTGTGAAAGTTGGAGAATTGGTTATAGCCCCAAGGTTATAATCATGTAGGATTTGGGGTCAGTTGCAAGTGTATAATCATCTTTATCTCCCATCTAGGTACCTTGTATCCTTCTCCATCAACTTTACCATGTACGGCGGAGCTGTGGTCTACTTGATCCTTGCCTCAGAGAACCTCCAGTCACTATTTGCTGACGTCCACAAAGACATCTCCTTCTGTTTCTGGTTGCTGATAGTGGCTGGCATACTACTACCTTTATCCTGGCTGGGCACTCCGAAAGATTTCTGGTAAGACGCCATCTTAAAACACCATTCCTGCATGCTTGTCTGCGACGTTATTTAGACGTTTCTTTTGTTCTTAATAACATAAACACGGCTTGTCACGATGTCAGTGTTTTAACTTTCCGTAACGGTAATATGCATTTGTCGTGGGAAAACCTGAATTTGTCTGAGTGGTTATTACGAGATAGCTAAGATCGTTCTGAGGACTTAGTTTTCTAGAATGTTCACTTCTTCCTCTTTGTTCTTCACAGGCCAATAGCAGTAGGCGCTGCCGTGGCGACAGGCACGGCCTGTATCATCCTCACCACAAACATGGTCATCGACAAGAAGGACCTCCCCGAAGTCGTTCACGATACTCCTGGCTTTGTGTCCTTCTTCACGGCGTTCGGCACCATCTGCTTCGCGTTCGGAGGGCACCCAGCGTTCCCCACCTTCCAGACAGACATGAAGGACCACAGGCAATTCGGCAAAGCTGTCCTGCTTGCTTACATGAGTAGGTAATTACCAAGTTTTAACAAAAGATTAAGTTTATTTGAGTAAATATTTTGCCATTTCAAACATTTATTTTCTACGAATGTAAAGGTGGCCTTGTGTCTCCCAATTCCGTGCATGACGTATTGTACCTGTCCTTTTGCATCTTCCCAAGGCAAGAGAGTTAACTGACTATAAAAGTCCAGTTTCCACCCTTGCCGAACTAGGCTGGGATTATGGAGTTACATTTTGGCTGGACTAACGAGTCTATGCATAGTCCAATCAAAATCGCGCACCGAAATGGAAATCCGGTTCGTAAACTGTCATGCAGATTTCGGTCGATTGCAGGATTTGCAAAGCATGTGCATCGCCAACTCGTTGTCAACAGATCTTTTCCAAATCTTTTCATGTTTCTAATCAAGGTGCTCACGTGATTTGATGTACTTCGCGAAGTAAGAACCGTTTTATCACAAAATAGACCTTGATGGTCGATCAGATCGTCTTGACTGGGCGCCACCATTTTGTTTGAAGCAAATGCATGTTATACGAGAGTAGGAATCTGATTGGTCCACATGGGAGAGGCATAGAATGGACATAACTCGTGCCACTGGTGGCGCTACGGTCGAGCCCAGGAATTCCAGCCTAGTTCGGCAAGGGTGGAAACTGGACTTTTGTAGTCAGTTAACTCTCTTGCCTCGTGAAGATGGTCCTTTTGGGTGTGCCCGTTCGTGTCTGGCTTTGAGCTCTGTGAGAAGTTGAGGCGGGGTGAAATGGGGTTAAACGTCGCTTCCAATATTACTGCACTTATACAGCGACGTGCATATTTACTGATTTTGTTGAAAAAAGAATATTTATGTTGAATTGGGTCTGTAGAAGTTTAGGCATTCTGCTCAAGAAGAACCGTTTAAGAAACGAAGGTGTGAGTGGTCAGTTTTGATGTCTCGGCTAAAAGATTTATTTTGTAAACACGCTCGAATAATAACAATAATAACACTGGCTGTCGGAGTCAATGATACATGAAACACATTTTATATTGGATTGATTGAGAGAGTGAGTCGGGTTTAATGCCTCTCTGAACAATATCACGGCCTGTCTGTCCACTTTATGTGGGACGAAACGTGATGCCTGTCTTAGACCTTTACTACTTTGTTGAAACCCATGAGCATGGGTATGGTGCTGAAAGATCCGGGATTATATGGGATTCGAACCCAAGAACTGCTAGCACAACAAAGGGACATAATTATCCACATCGAATTAGAACCATTTCGGTTTAATATAGACTTCCTTGCATCATCTTCTGCCTTTGCAAACTTGCATTGACGGTGTGAACATTTGCCAAACGGGTGTTGACGTCTGGCAAACAAACAGATACCATATAGACATCACGTGAATATGACGTTATCCACGTCGAATTCTGGCACCGAAGGCGCAAATCCAGTGTACTCTCTGCCGTTTCCCCCAAATGCTTTGTCTTAACTCTCATAACGACCTTCTAAAATCTACATCCCCAACATGTGAAGTCAATGTGTTATCTACTTTCGTATAACGACAGAACCAAATGTCGCCTGCTTATTCAAAATGTCAGTCCAACGTCTGCTGCCTCCATCCTAGGTGTTGCGATCGTCTGCTTACGAATCCGACGTCAAACAAACGTAAAAGTCAATAAAAGTTTGCTTAAAACATCTTATCAACGTCTACGTCCCAATAACGTCTAATTAATATGTCGTCTGCTAACTCTTAACGTCAATCAACATCGGGTTCCCTATTATGACGTAAACAGAAAACGTCAACGCCAGGGAATTATCAGTCTCGATTATCCTATGTGATTCCTCATTATGTTAATCTCCAACATGGGGCGGTCGGGTAGCCTAGTAGTTAAAGCGTTCGCTCGTCACGCCGAAGACCCGGGTTCGATTCCCGACATGGGTACAATGTTTGAAGCCCATTTCTGGTGTCCCCCGCCGTGATATTGCTTGAATATTGCTAAAAGCGGCGTAAAACTATACTTACTCACTCACTAATCTCCGACATGTTGTCTGCTTCCTCCTAACGTCCATCCAACGTTAGGTCAGCTTCTCCATAATATTCGTGCCGTCTGCTTCTCATACTGTTAATCTCCGACATATCGCATGCTTCCTCTTAATGTCCATCCAACATGTCGTCTGCTTCTCATACTGTTAATCTCCGACATATCGTATGCTTCCTCTTAATGTCCATCCAACGTGTCGACTGCTTCTCATAATGCTAATCTCCGACATGTCGTATGCTTCAACATAAAGTGTCGTCTGCTTTTTTCCAGTTGTGTTGTGCATGTACATTCCTGTCTCTGTAACGGGGTACTTCGTGTACGGGAAAGATACCCAGCCTAACATCCTGCAGACGGTGTCGTCGGGCCCCATGTTGGTGACTGTGCAGATTCTCGTCACCCTTCATCTGTTTTGTGGATTCATCATCATTATCAACCCTTTTAGTCAGGAAGTAGAGGAAATATTCAAAGTACCCCACCGTAAGTATATCTATCTCAGTACAACCACAAATGTTCCCGAACAGCTTGAGATAAAGACACTGCACAAAGAGTCAATCATCATTTTGATCTAAGTCTGAAACTTTCGCTATCAAACCCGCAAGATTTTCTTCTGATTTGTTTGATTGTTTGTTTGTTGTTTAACGCCGCACTCAGCAATATTCCAGCTATATGACGGCGGTCTGTAAAATAATCGAGTTTGGACCAGACAATCCAGTGATTGACATCATGAGCATCGATCTAAGCAATTGGGATCGATGACATGTATCAACCAAGTCAGCGAGCCTGACCACCCGATCTCGTTAGTCGCCTTTTACGACAAGCATAGTCGCCTTTTACGGTAAGTATGGGTTGCTGAAGACCTATTCTACCCCGGAATCTTCACGGGTCGATTTTCTCCTGAGCCCATACATATAATAAAATATTAAATGGCAACACTTATATTTTCAAATTCACAAACCACATGCTACCATTTTGATGTCTTTTATAACGATTGTTGTTTTTAAAAATCGAATCAAACAAGTTTGCCTTTATTCCACAGATCACATCAATGTCCTTATTCAATGTTTAAAAAGTATTTAACTACCAGGAAAAATTGACATATCTATCATTTAAGAAAAAAAAACGTGTTTCATTCACAAGATGTAAGTGAAAGCATTGTCTAATACGGTATTGAAGGCGAGATGAACGGAATACTGGGTCTCAGTTTGCCATGTTTGGTGACTTGGTTGCTTGTTTGGTCATTGTACACCGATGGCGTTAATCGCTGCTCAAAGTATCGATCAATGGATTTACAAATTTGATTTTTTTTACAGGCCGCCGTCATATAGCTGGAATATTGCTGAGTGCGGCGTTAAAAAGCCCCCCCCCAAAAAAAACAAAAACAAACAACAACAACAAAAAACAAAAAACAACAAACAAACAACAACAAAAAACAATATCTAAGTTTCACACCTGACACTTATTACATTGCCTTGAAGTAGACTGTAAGCGTGAGTGAGTGAGTGGGTTTTACGCCGCTTTTAACAGTATTCCAGTTATATCACGGTGTATAAGCTTAATGTGGGAGGGAAGCCCAAAGTGATGCAGGTCTCTGATGTTTACCACTTCGGTGAAACCCAGGAGCATGGGTATGGTGCTGACAAACCTACAAACATATCGGGGCGAACCGGGATTCGAACCCACAATCATAGGTTTCTGGCATGCCCAAGGGACGCAACTCTGCACAGGGAATCCTTAGACGACTGGGCCACCCGTGCCCCCTAGGCTGTAAGCAGATACCAGGCCGTAGATCATAGTCTAATTTTAAGTATGTCATTAATATTGTTTCAGATTTCGGCTGGAAACGTTGTTTACTGAGGACTGTTCTTGTTGCCCTGGTTTTATTTGGTGCTGAGACGGTGCCCAAGTTCGGCGCTATCCTGGCACTTGTTGGCGGATCCACCATCTCCATCCTAGCCTTCATCTGTCCACCCCTCTTCTACCTCAAACTCACCAAGATGGAGGGGGACTGGGAGAAAATGTACGTGGTGCACTCTTCTCCCGATGGTGTCCGATATGTGGACTTTACCTTCTCCTAACAAGGCAATATCTGGGTCGTATACATACGTGTTTTATCTCAAGGCTAACTAGCATGTGATGATAGGTGCAGTCGGTACGATACACTTATTATATATATACAAGAAGGCCAATGAACCTGTTCCTGTAGCATTCCGAGATTCCTCAGTTCCGCGATTCCTTGTGATTCCCAGGTTCCATGATTCCGTGATTCCTTGTGATTCCCAGGTTCCATGATTCCGTGATTCCTTGTGATTCCCAGGTTCCGTGATTCCTTGTGATTCCAAGGTTCTATGATTCCGTGATTCCTTGTGATCCCCAGGTTCCATGATTCCGTGATTCCTTGTGATTCCCAGGTTCCGTGATTCCTTGTGATTCCCAGGTTCCATGATTCCGTGATTCCTTGTGATTCCCAGGTTCCGTGATTCCTTGTGATTCCCAGGTTCCATGATTCCATGATTCCTTGTGATTCCCAGATTCCATGATTCCGTGATTCCTTGTGATTCCCAGGTTCCATGATTCCGTGATTCCTAATGATTCCCAGGTTCCGTGATTCCTTGTGATTCCCAGGTTCCGTGATTCCTTGTGTTTCCCAGGTTCCATGATTCCTTGTGATTCCCAGGTTCCATGATTCTGTGATTCCTTGTGATTCCCAGGTTCCATGATTCCGTGATTCTTGTGATTCCCAGATTCCGTGATTCCTTGCGATTCCCTGCCTGTCTGTCTGTCTGTCTGCCTGTCAGAGTGTCTGTGTGCATGTATCGATCTAATATTGAAGTATCCATATCAGCTTAAAGGGACCTCTTCAGGGCCATACGGATTCAATTATTTTGCTGACCCAATTGTAAATTCCACCACCACGTGAAATAAAACTGTGACAGGAGGTTAATCATCCCATTGTGTTTGTATATTTGAAACTATAACATAATGCTTGTTTCTGTGGTTTATTGCAGTGAGGTCCCCCTGCACAAGAGGGTGGCTCTGTATGAGATCGTGTTCGTGGGCCTGGTCGCTGGTATCGCATCCACGTACTCTGCCTTTGCTGGTCTCCTTGCGCCAGGCGCTTTCACTGTGCCGTGTTATATCAACATCACGGCTGCCAGTGGTTCCTAGGGGTGGGACAGGCGTAGGGTGGGGCAGGTTGAATGTGGTGGCTTTGGTTGTGGGGTGGGGTCGGGTCGTGGATGTGCATCGGGGAGAAGATGCATTTGTTGTCCCCTGTTATGTCAATATCACGGCTGCCAGTGGTTCCGGGGGGGGGGGGGGGGGGAGATCAGGTTGAATGTGGTTGCCTTGGTTGTGGGGTGGGGTCGGGGCGTGGATGTGCATCGGGGAGAAGATGTTTTTGTTGTGCCGTGTTATATCAACATAAGGGCTGTCAGTGGCTCCTAGGGGTGGGACAGGTTGGTGGGGTGTAACGGGTGTGCGGTAGTTATCGTGAAGTGGGGGTCGGGTGGGTGGGAGGTGAATCAAGGTGTTACGCTGCAGGGGGGGTGGGGGGTGTTGCGGTTGGGCCGAGGCAGTTGTATGTATGAACATAATGGCTGCCAATGGTTCCTTGTGTACCTAAGAGTACCTGGACTACTTATCTATAGGGGTATATATTTTTATTTACTGATGGTTGGTTGGTGTTAGAGAATGGGAAGGATCACGTACACATTTTATGGGGAAAATGATGTTTCTCGTCATTGTGCAATATCTGTCAGTTGGACACTAAATTACTTACGCTCACAGTATATAGAATGTATTTGATGTGAAGAACTGAACTGGCTTTATCTCGAAATAAATAAAAAAGTCTTATTATCCTCATATTAAGGTCTGTGGCACAAATGTATTCCGTATTTGTAAATACCCAAATGATACATATATATGAACCTTGATAATAAGAACAGTTCGGTTTCTAAGACAATGGATCTTCATGTCGACCTGTGTTGACTTCAGCAGTCAGGACACATTTACGACATTTCGCCACAATAATCAGAGGGATACATGTTCCCTTACAACCTCTCCGTGCAATACATTTGTGATAGAATCATCATCAGTTGTTGTTTTTTATGTTGACATTTATTGTTTTAAAGTGTACCGTTACCTTATAGGTTGAACGTCATTTTTAACAGTGTAAATGATATGATATGCGACACTTTGAATTAATATTTGTTTTACTCTCTCACTCAAAGTTGACCTAATTTCGTGTTCACAAAGAACAATTAAGCATGTCTCAGACGTTTACCACTTCGGTGAAACCCACGAGCATGGGTATGGGTGCTGACAAACCTAGAAACATAATCGGGTCGAACCGGGATTCGAACCCACAATCATAGGTTTCTGGCGTGCCCAAGGGACGCAACTCTGCACAGCGAATCGCGGCGCCTTAGACGACTGGGCCACCCGTGCCCCCTGCTTTTTCGAGACAGCATACTGACATAGTTACCTCGAATAGTCGTCCTGCCTGTATGAGTGTCGATGCATGCAAGGTAGTGCGTACCTACTAAAGTGGGAAACATGTGTTAAGGGACCAACTATTTTGGCTTTTTGTAAAGATATTTCAAGACAACCACATATTTTTCGGGAAACATGTTTTTCTACCCGGGAGCAGAATACGAACAATTTTTAATTCAGTTTTTTTTAAACTACACTTTCTTTTCTTAACACCCAGTAAGTCCAGAAGATCAATGGTCGATCCCTAGCAGAAATGCAGTTTGATCCTTCGAGTGCATTCGTCATCTCTCGCTCCTTTCCGTAACCGGCAAGACGACTCGCCCCCTAACGTAGAATGTTTTGTGCGAAAATACGACAAACCAATCAGAATGCGTGTATGATTTCAACTTCGGCCAAGATGACGAGTGAGGTACCTTGTCTATTTATATACATGGTCCGGCGTTTTAGTAATATAACTATCCTGATTCGGGGCCTGTGGACTGCTCTATTGTCAGTTGTGTACATATCAATGCTAATAAGTAGGGTACTTTAGACTGGAAGTCAATTATCAGCACGTCACTAGACAAACGTCATTGTGAACGATGACTCAACAAAACCCAGGTCAATGCTGATCAATGTCGCACGTAAGGATAACAACAACCTCTCTATACCGGACTCTACTCGTATACGTCCATTGAAGCAGTACATTATTTTCTGTTTGTTCTTTTTTTCTTCTTGGAAGGATCTCTTGGTGCTCCCCAGGTTAACTTGCAGAGCACTGGAATCTCATGGAGCAAAACATGATGTATTTCCACCAGATAAACTCGAATAGTGTTTCGAGATTATGTTATGACATGAATGTATTTTACGTCACATCCGGCAGTGTCAAAGTAATGCCTGTAGACAATCGATTCCTGATTGGACAAACGAGTGGTCGACAGCATGAGTGACGAACCACGTGGTTAGGTCATACGTGACAATGTATTCTTACAAAACGTCATTGTTCTATATGTACTATTTTTGAAAATGAATTAAATAGTGTAATTATATATGTTTTTCCTGAAGAACAGTTAATGTTTTAACAAGAGACTAATGTTTATATCTGATTACTCTTGTAAATACGGCATATCATGACAATAAAATAATTATCATTATTTTGAATAATATGTGTGTTTTCGTTTTAATGTTCTTTTTGGAAAAGCATTTTCGGATTAAAATCAAATGAATATAAAGATTTGGTAACAGGTTTTGTTAAATACACACTTCTCGCCATCACTTTTGTTTACGAGGATTTTGAAATACGTTTTTTTTATTTCTACCCAAAGCATATTTCGTTCCAACTGTTTGTGAAAGTTTAATACATTCACGGCTATGATTAATGGATTCATTAAAAGCCAAAGCATACTTTCGATTATCCAGTGGAGTACATTACAGATAATAATGACACAGCATTGCAAATAGGAAATACCTTTTTATGTTTTCAGGACCTTACCTCATTTCCTTTTTGAAACTACTGCATAACAAAGTTTTAGATCAGGTATTTTCCCTTCTTCGCGGACCCAAATAATTGTAGTGGTATTTCTCTTTTAAATGTTGCAGGCAAGTTATTTACTTTTGTGTTGGAGTGAGTGATTTTGTGTGTTTGTTTGTTGTTTAACGCCGCACTCAGCACTATTCAAGCTATATGACGGCGGTTGTAAATAATCGAGTCTGGACCAGACAATCCAATGATTGACATCATGAGCATCGATCAACGTAATTGGGATACGATTAAATGCATCAACCAAGTCAGCTAGCCTGACCACCCGATCAGATGTCGCCTCTTACGAGGAACATAATCGCCTTTAACGACAAGCATGGGTTGCTGAAGACCTATTCCACCCAGATCTTCACGGGTCTAGAGTGAGTGATTGAGTTGGGTTTAACGCCACTATTTTAGCAGTATTCCAGTTATTTCACGACGTGTCACTTTAATGTGGAGGAAAAGCCTGATGTGATGCAGGTCTCAGACGTTTACCGCTTTGGTAACAACCGCGAGTACGGGTATGGTGCTGACAAACCTAGAAACACAATCAGGGCGAACCGAGGTGACAGGATGTAATCACTCTCCTCGCGGTACACTCTAGGGTGATTCTGTCTCAGGATTAAATCACAACCCACGGAAAGAATGCAAAATACACATTTAGAAATAAAATAACTCAAAAGGGGTACAAAATGCAACAGTAATATCAACAGGGGAGTTACGTGTGTGTGTGCGTGGTGTGAGTGTGAGTGGTATTCGCATGTTGACGAATCATGTTTTCCTCACATGAAATACATTCAAAACATACATTTTTCAAACTGAACGCGCACAATTGTTGCAAACCCGCGGAGGAAAAGAAAGCCATGAGTCACTTTTTTTCCCCAGTGAAGTTGTAATCAATCATATACTTTTCGGCAAATCCAAATTCATTATACATAAATGATTCATTAAAGTGAGTGAGTATGGTTTTACGCCACTTTTAGAATATTCCAGCAATATCACGACGGGGGACACCAGAAATGGGCATCACACATTGTACCCACGTCGGGAATCGAACCCGGGTCTTCGGAGTGACGAGCGTACGCTTTAACCACTGGGCTACCCCTGATTCATTAAAGCCCACAAAGGTATATAGCTATATGGCAGCAATGTTGCTGACACAATGTAAAATATTAATTAAGGGCTAATTATGTCTCATATGTTTAATAATTTCAATGAGCTGTCATTTCATCTTGTCAGTCATTGCCAGTTCACGCAGCAGAAACATATATTTTACAGCACATGCCATTTTAATGTTTTCGTTATCGCTATTGTCATCATTCGCTTCGACCCGTGAAGATCCGGTGTAGAATAGGTCATCAGCAACCCATGCTTGCCGTAAAAGGTGACTATGCTTGTCGTAAGAGGTGACTAACGGGGTCGGGTGGTCAGGCTCGCTGACTTGGTTGATGCATGTCATCGTATCCCAATTCCATGGACCGATACTCATGATGTCAATCACTGGATTGTCTGATTAATATTGCTACATGTCACATGTTGGTAACTTCACGTTTGAATAATAAAACGGTGAGAGAGTAAGTGGGTTACAAAAACACTTAAATATATTACAATTCTTTTGTTTGAAATGAGGATTAGTGGTAAATTTGAATAGAACAAACATAATTGTGTTCAGAAATGGAATAGTTGCCAAAAAGGAAAGATGGGCGTATGGAAATTTTTGGTTAAGCAAGTAATTTACTATTAATATTCGGGTTTAATGTTTGTTCAATATGAATGTGGTCATTAGCTTGGAAACATCTCGCTGTTCAAGCTTACCTGTGTAACTTTTTGACCGTAAAAATTGCACCAGTATTACTATGGTAAGGAGATATAGGACCAGAATATTATGCTGCCATCGAAAAAGGACATACCACATATTTCAAACGTTTTGGGGTATTGGTAAATGTGCGAAGAAGTCAAGCAATTCTTGATGTAATAGGTGTTTACATAGCCAAGTAAGTAAGGGTAGTTAATTACTAGATGAAGTAATAATGGAAGGTGAGGTGAAATTGGGTTTAACGTCGCGTCCAAGATTATTGCACTTATATAGCGACGTGCATGTATGTGTGTGTGTTTGTGTGGCTGCATGTACTAGTCCGGACTGATGCCGATTTATAGTGCTAGCTCACTGAGATACCATGCCGCAGTTTAATATGAATACCCCACTCAGACACAGTATACTGACTCCGAGCCGACCAGTCCTTGTTTTAGCCCCTTAATGCCGAGCGCCAGACAGGGTAACAACAAGTACCATCTTTTAACGTCTTTTGGTATGACGCGGTCGGGTCTAATAATGGAAGAATGCAGATGTCCTCTGCAATGTTTTAAACTGTGAAAGCAGTAGGATGATTATCTTAAACGTAACTAGGTATCTATGTAAGGAATCTATTATTCACATGTGTTTTGTTTTTTTCTTTTCTATGGATTTCACATGATATTAGTAACATCCAACCTGTGCTGTGATGGGTTCCACCACCGTTATCTAGCGAGTAATCACTTACTTGATAACGGTGTTAGAACCTACACCGAAACGTTGCTCCTAATTGTAATAAAGAAGTTGTTCATCCATAAATCTTATCCTTACTCAGTTTGTTAGAGGTGAAATTGAAGATGAATTCCACGTATTATTCAAGTGTAGCAAGTAATACAAGTTATGGTCTACATCTCTCTCTGTTCTTGGATAATGACTTTAAATCTGATATGTTAATGACAAATGATATCAACTCACAAAATGTACAAATTTACGTACCAGTGGCTACTTATATAGAATATATTTGAAAGTTTTTAAATCAAGAATAATTCAGTTTCAGTATCGATTGTGCAATCAGTAAAGCTTTTAACAAAAATGGTACAGAAGACACGTGGAGGACATTTCCATCGCATCTGTGGAGAGGTGTGTGTGTGTGTGTGCGTGTGTGTGTGTGTGTGCGTGCGTGCGTGTGTGTGTGTGTGTGTGTGCGCGCGCGTGTGTGTGTGCGCGTGTGTGTGTGTGTGCGTGTGGGAGTGTGGGAGAGGGGGTGGGGGGGAGGGGGTAGCTGTACACATATAGTGAAAACACAGATACAAACAGGAAACACACGCACACCCACCCACACCATACACACACATAGTGACAAAACACACACGCACGAACACACACGCACACCATACACACACACATAAAGACAAAGCACGCACGCACGCACGCACACACACACGCACACCATACACACACACACACACATAGAGACAAAACACACTCACACCATATACATACATTGCACACACAGTACACCTCACACATAGAGAAATAACAACACACACACACACACACACACACACACACACTGAGGTAGGATATAGATAAAAAATAATAATTTATAGACGAACGCATTTAGCTCGAACGATCCCCTCAAGCCATACATAACTCATGGTTTCTATGTATGCATATATTCAAATAATAACCTCCCACACCTTGAACTAACGGTGCTTATCCGAGTACTCCATTGCATTGAACAACAACTGATACAGGCCTAGGTCCCGACAGCACGTGGCCTGCAAACAATACATGTACCTTGTCATATGTATATGTATATATAGGTCAGGCGTATAGGCAACCCGATACCGGCACACAGACAGGCGGGTATCAGCGTGACGGTGACACGGGACACACACTGAATGACATGACAGACCATCACGTGAGTGATAACGACACCGGCAGGAAAACATTGAGTGAAATCAGAAAAACCGTCCCTTCCCTCTGACGATAAAAAGGTGGGTTGAGAATATTCATGATTTACATTTAACGGTTGGCTTGGATCAAAATGTTGTTGTGAAATTATTGATGTAAGTTTGAGAGGAGTACTTTTACTGTTAGATTTGAACAAGGAAGCAACGTTCGTGTCAAATATTAATGGAGTGATGGTTGTTAAAGGGTAGCTTTACTCTGGTTATCTGAGTAACGGTTGGCTTAGATCAAAATGTTGTTGTGAAATTATTGATGTAAGTTTGAGAGGAGTACTTTTACTGTTAGATTTGAACAAGGAAGCAACGTTCGTGTCAAATTTTAATGGAGTGATGGTTGTTAAAGGGTAGCTTTACTCTGGTTATCTGACAGTCCAGCAAGTTTGATTTCAGTGTTTCAGAAACTGATTGTTTCCCTATTACTGAAGAGAGACAATGCGTTGTACGGGGTGTTGGAGTGAGTTGGGTTTAACGTATAATTGATAATTAACGTAAATCAATGTATAATGATTCTTATCACTTTCAAATCTAATACATACTATAATAAATACATATTTAATTTGTTCTGCTATTTGCTGGTATAATGGATTTGTTACAGATATGCTGTAACAATACCCTTGTTCATTATAGCAACTTATAAATGTCAATCATACTGTTAATTCCGCATGTCCCGATGTGCTGTAACTTGCATCTGAAATACATATAATATTTGGGGAAATATATGTGAACCATCCCGCACCGAATGCACGAATGCCTCCTACAAAGACATCACAGTCGTGACAAACTCGTGTTATCCCGGGACAAGCCGAATAGACTCGTGCCCCTCTCGAGGATTTTTTGCGACTGGATTCCGAGCGCAAACGGGCATAGCCAAAATAATTGTAAACTCGTTGCGGAATGATTTACGTTAATTTCCCCATTTAACATTTATATTCCACATGCTATATACAACACGCCGGGACTTACATTATTATTGATCACATTTAACTGTAGTTTAGGTAATACTATAGTTTCAGATGCCAGACATGTAAAATAAAAAATTATTCCTGCGGGATTCTTTGACCGAATTACGCGCAGTCATACGCGCATTCTGATTGGTTTGTGGTATTTTAGCACATAACATTCATCGATTAGGGGACGAGTCTTCTTCCAGGTTACGGAAAGGGGCGAGTGGTGATGAATGTTACCATCAGGGCCCCGTCCTACAAAGCGATCTTAGCGCTTCCTACGCTCTGTTCTGGATAGATCTCATCCTAGTGTCCTATTTTAAACCCTTGGTCGACTTTCACGACCCACCAGTCCTCGCCATGAACGTGTGTGTACATTTTGTGACAATCACGAAGTTGAGGATGAAACTGACTTTTTGTGAAATGTGCTCAGATTTAAGTTTTGAATTAGGCAACAAAACTTCTTTACTATATAACCTTTTAGAATATGTCCCACTGGTTAAACTGTCTTTATAACGCAGTGTGATGCGTTCGTTCCATCTCTTGCTCCAACTGTACCCTCCATATATAAAAGTTGAAAGAATTTCTCCTGAATACTTTCTCCTGATTTGGCGTGTTATATCATATTTTCGTGATATTGGTACCATACAATTTATAACTACACACGCCTATGTCAAATATTACAACCCACAGAGCAAACCACATTTGTATCTTTTCATAGTACATCCAGTGCTTTCAATGAAATTGATGTTAGACAGTTTTATTTTTTTTAATTATTTTTATCCATGTATTTACTTGGTTTTATGTTTCTCATAGGCCATTTTGTCCGGACAACGCACCGTCTATGTTAAAAAATCTAATACATGTATGTATTACCGTATGTAAATGATTATGCTATGCCGTGTGACACAATAATGAACTATATTCTTATCTTATCTTATCCTATGTTTATGTATGCGAGTAAGAAACACCTGAACGCTACTGTCGATTTGTGGAACGGGACCCGGATAGGTTGCCGGGGACCTATTCTAATGGATATTCGAGTATATACCGTATTTATTAGTGTAAATCTTGAAATTAATGCGAAAAATACGAGTAGTCTTGTTCGCCTTAATTAAACTAAGCATTAATATCTCTATATTGACTGAACCGCCTCCGTGGTCTTGTGGTAGAACGTCCGCCCGGAGAGCGGAAGGTCCAGGGTTCGATCCCGGGCCGCGTCATACCAAAAGACGTTAAAAGATTGTACTTGTTTTTACCCTGTCTGGCGCTCAGCATTAAGGGACTAAAACAAGGACTGGTCGGCTCGTAGTCAGTATACTGTGTCTGAGTGGGGTATTCATGCATGCACGTCGCTATATAAGTGCAATAATCTTGGACGCGACGTTAAACCCAATTTCACCTCCCCTCACCTCACCTATATTGACTGTTGGCAAGAGGGCATCCTCTCGTATCTCTCAGGTAAACGAATAGGTGATAATAAACTTGGTCAATACAAATGTGACATTTGCGATAAAACATCACTGGCCCCTTTAAATTGTGTTTCTTGTTATGCTGGGTATTGTTCTATATGCAAAGATTAAAATTACTCTGTGTATTTTCTTGTACACTTAGCCTGAGATAGCAATCAGCGGAACACACATTTTGTCCCAGCCCTGCCAATGATTCAGTTAAAAAATACTCAGTGACATAACGTAAAATAATTTTGATGCAATGACCGGAAGAAATTGTATCTAAACCTAATATTTTACCACAAATAATATATTCCAATATCGTGTTAATTTAGTTGCAGCTCTTATTATGTTTATTTGAAATAATAATAACTATAAGCATATCACTTTGGTACAGTCGCCGTCACATAGCTGGAATATTGCTGACAACAACAAACAAACAAACTGCTGATTGCTATTGACGGATTTTTTTACGCATGGTACAGTTTGACCCGTCACCGTTGAAACTTCGCGCGAAATATTATGTTGACTACATCAAATATGACGGTTGGTTGGTTTGTATGTTGTTTAACACCACACTCAGCAATATTCCAGCTTTATGACGGCGGTCTGTAAATAGTCGAGTCTGGACCAGACAATCCAGTGATTAATATCATGAGCATCGATCCACGCAATTGGGATTGATGACATGCATCAACCAAGTCGGCGAGCCTGACCACCCGATCTCGTTAGTCGCCTCTCGCGACAAGCACAGTCGCATTTTACGGCAAGCATGGGTTGCTGAAGACCTATTCTAACCCGGATCTTCACACATCAAATATGACTTTAAACGAGTCAACGCATATGTATCCATTCTCTGTCAACGAAGGTTCGTGTCATGTGGTCAATAGCTGTGGTATGATCGTCGTTGCTGTAAGTAAGGGTGCCGCTCAGTTCACACACCATTTCGATGAAATTAATTTGAACAATATTAAATATTAAAAAGATTACGGAACAAATTTGGCATAGCGGAAATACTAAACTTCAATACAAACAACCACAGCACGGTTTATTGAGCAGCAGTTGCATCAAGTACGTTATGCGTCATTCCATCACATAAATACATTGTATGATGTTACACTCTCTCGGGAATCTCCGGAATATTTGAGAGGCTATTATTTGAGTAGAGAGATGGATTTGGGCTGAACACGGCTTTGAACAGTATATCAGGTATATATATCCCAGCTTATTGTTAAATTGATCCGTGAAGATCCAGGGTAGAATAGGTCTTCAGCAACTCATCCTTGTCGTTTTGTAACTGATCTTGCACTTTGTTCAATCCGCTTTCCTGTTATCAATACCAGCTGGCAAGGCACAAGGCTGATGATACGTACATCTGGTAAGCGTTATCAGTGTGGCTGGGTTTAGTAAGCACACAATGTGACCTCGGTCTTTCTGAACGGGGATGGAGGTCTGTTCAGCCTCTGCAGAACTTCGGTCTTGAGTAGACTGGCATGTTCTTTTGCTTCTTTTGAGTACTAAGACCGCCTCCGTGGTCTAGCGGTAGAGCGTCTGCCCGGAGTGCGGAGGGTATTACTGGGCTGAATTGTGGTTGGTGGGTTGGTTTGTTGTTTAACGCCGCGCTCAGCAATATTCCAGCTATATGACGGCGGTCTGTAAATAATCGAGTCTGGACCAGACAATCCAGTGATTGACATCATGAGCATCGAACCACGCAATTGGGATATGATGACATGCATCAACCAAGTCAGCGAGCCTGACTACCCGATCCCGTTAGTCGCCTTTTACGACAAGCATAGTCGCCTTTTACGGCAAGCATGGGTTGCTGAAAACCTATTCTACCCCGGATTCTACCGGCGGAATCTTTAAAGACCTCGGACCAACAAGCTGGAAGGATTTCACAGCCGGCTGTGTCCTTTGACACCACCATCCATACGTTTATCGCTTCATTGGGTGATAAAGAAGATCAACACGGTAAAGTTGCGCTGCACCACTAAAGCGCAATATAATCTACACAGGAATTGAAAGTCGACTTGCTCGACATGAGGACTACCTTCATCAACAAGCACAGAAGACTCCTGCTGAGTACCCGGATGCTGTTGGCCACCAACTGAGAAGAAATGAACAAAATATGTGAACAAAAATTGTGCTTCAAATACATTTTATTTCCGTACATATTTTTGTTTTGTTATTAATATACATCATGCAACGTGGTAAAACCATTATAGAATTCTTCCTAGAAAATGTCATTGGTATAATATCAAAATAAATAACTCTTATCTTAACTTGGTCTTTGTTGGATTATCCCATTATCACCGTGAGGTGACAGTCAGTTGGTTTGTATACACTCACCATACATTGTTCGTTAAGCTGTACAACCAGTGGGATTCTAATGAGAGGGTACCGTTTCGTCAGACATAACTGATTTCGTTTGCAGTTAGCGTCAGGTGCCACAAAATATGACATCTCTCCACATGTTCGATAACCAGATGTATTACGTCGTGAAAAAAGATATTCTACTATGGACTCCGTGGTTAATCGAGGATGATCTTCAAGAGATAGTTTAATTATTTGCCTGAAGTACCACTTTTTTATAACTGACCAAAAAGCCAAGCAAATTCAGGTGTCGTTTTCTAATATGAGCTATCTTTTCGATAAAGTTGTAGTTATTATTTCAGTTATACCACGGCGTGTGAGTTTAATGAGCGAGATAACCCCGAGGTGATCAGGGGATCCGTGCTCGACAAAGGGGCGCAACTCTGCGACCACGATACAGAATTACTGCCATTATACATCATGACAAGCGATATGACCGTGAAAATACGTTGTGTGCAATATAAGCCAAAATGGGGTTTTTTTTAATTGCATTTAATTATTTTCAGACATAATGGCGGTTAACTATGACAAGGACCTGCTCGTCCAGGTGAGACAATCATATACACACCGCATAATGGGTTTTACTTTTCCCCTTTATTATACTTATGGTAGAAGTTTCGGTGTTGAGAATAAACAACTGGTTTGAAACTAATTCAAAACAGATGTTCAGTTGTTCTCTGAATAGTCTCTCATTGGAATACAACATTTCCGCTTAAATACATTTGCTCTAAAGAGGAGCGACCGCCTCCGTGGTCTTGTGGTAGAGCGTCCGCCCGGAGAGCGGAAGGTCCAGGGTTCGATCCCGGGCCGCGTCATACAAAAAGACGTTAAAAGATTGTACTTGTTGTTACCCTGTCTGGCGCTCGGCATTAAGGGACTAAAACAAGGACTGGTCGGCTCGGAGTCAGTACATTGTGTCTGAGTAGGGTATTCATGTTAAACTGCGGCATGGTATCTCAGTGAGCTAGCACTATAAATCGGCATCAGTCCGGACTAGTACAAGCAGCCACACACACACACATACACGTGCATGCACGTCGCTATATAAGTGCAATAATCTTGGACGCGACGTTAAACCCAATTTCACCTCACCTCTAAAGAGGAGCCTTTCTCTGGTGAACGGATCGAGAAGCACTGAGTGGAATGGCGCTGATATACACGACGGTGTACATGCGCGCAGGAAACGAGAATGTGTTACTATTACGACCAACAACGACCTGCTTCCAGACTGACAACAGTCAGCTGTCAATCTTGGCATGATTTGCTTGTGATATGCTTGTGTCTGCGCCTGAGAAGTTTTGAATTTTTGAATGACCACAGATCATGCTTTCCAAAGTGACAGCGAATTTTGAGTTGCACATGCTGTGTACAGCTGCACAGGATGCACGTGCAGTTACACATTGCACGTCCATAGGCCCCCATCAATGACGTCATATCGCATGGCACGTGCATGAGCGTTTGAATGTCTCCAATAATTGCTGTGTTCAAACCTATATTTCATATATGGACGGTGTGCCCTTATATCTATATTTTCTCCGTGCACAGTTTCTTAATGTGGCTAGTATACATACTGTTTGTCGTTTGTTCAGGGTAACGAGCCTCACGGGTTGACGATATGGACTGCCGCCGTCTTCATCGTTGGGGAAATTGCGGGGTCGGGGGTGCTGGCGTTACCGAGCGCCGTGGAGGGTGCAGGTGAGATACACAGTTTATGACAACATGGACTGTGACCGTAACTTACTTTTTAATGATCATTATCCATTGTTAGTGTGATAGCATTAATTCAACAATTCGAAATAATTACATGTAAAGTCTTAGTGGGCATTAGGCCTTACATCTGATTTTTTATTTACTTAAACAACTTTTTTACTTTTTAAGATAAGTAATTTTAGTACAAGATTTTCGTTTACGAAGTAAACTTAAGGTTACGAATACCAAAACTCCCATACTTACGACAGTCGGTGGTAATATCTGGACTAATGATATACACGGTGGTAATGTCTGGACTAATGATATACACGTTGGTAATGTCTGGACTAATGATATACACGGTGGTAATACCTGGACTTATGATATACACGGTGGTAATATCTGGACTAATGATATACACGATGGTAATATCTAGACTAATGATATACACGATGGTATTATCTGGACTAATGATATACACGATGGTAATATCTGGACTAATGATATACACGGCGGTAATATCTGGACTAATGATATACACGGCGGTTGTATCTGGACTAATGATATACACGGTGGTAATATCTGGACTAATGATATACACGGTAGTAATGTCTGGACTAATGATATACACGGTGGTTATATCTGGACTAATGATATACACGATGGTAATATCTGGACTAATGATATACACGATGGTAATATCTGGACTAATGATATACACGATGGTAATATCTGGACTAATGATATACACGGTGGTAATATCTGGACTAATGATATACACGGTGGTTATATCTGGACTAATGATATACACGATGGTAATATCTGGACTAATGATATACACGATGGTAATATCTGGACTAATGATATACACGATGGTAATATCTGGACTAATGATATACACGATGGTAATATCTGGACTAATGATATACACGGCGGTTATATCTGGACTAATGATATACACGATGGTAATATCTGGACTAATGATATACACGATGGTAATATCTGGACTAATGATATACACGGCGGTTATATCTGGACTAATGATATACACGGTGGTAATATTTGGACTAATGATATACACGGCGGTTATATCTGGACTAATGCACGATGGTAATATCCAGTCTATAGATATGAACTCCTCACCATTGTGTTCAGGTTGGATTGGCCTCGTGTTGATCCTGCTGTGCTGTATCATCTCGGCCTACACGGGGGACGTGCTTGGGAGGGCGTGGTGCCTGGTCAGGGAGAGGTACGAGGAGTACCAGGGTCAGGTCAGGTACCCGTACCCAGCTATCGGCGAAGTGACATATGGGAAACCAGGCAGGTACGTCGGAGGTGCCGTTAGAGATCGACCATTTGATATTCGGTTGGGGGTGGGGTGCAATGTTGATTCGCTTTGTAGTGTTATTTCACGACTGCCTCAGGGATTTGGTATCGATATTAGATAATTTTTCATCTACAGCTACATCAGAATCATTTGAAAAAACCCCACCTTGCAACAAAGTATTTTATTGTTTTCGATACAGTGAGTGAGTGAGTATGGTTTTACGCCGCTTTTAGCAATATTCCAGCAATATCACGGCGGGGGACACCAGAAATGGGCTTCACATATTGTATCCATGTCGGGAATCGAACCCGGGACTTCGGCGTGACGAGCAAACGCTTTAACCACTAGGCTACCCGACCGCGATGCACATATCTTGTTTTCTTACGGCCGTAATAAGTCGCGAGAAAGCGATGTCCCCTCTCGGCAACTATAAGACCCGAGTTCGATTCCCCCCCGGGTAAAATGTGTGAAGCCCAATTCTGGTGTCCCCCGCCATGATATTGTTGGAATATTGCTAAAAGCGGCATAAAACCCTACTCACTCACACACCCACTCACTCACTTATAATTACAACTGTCACAGAAACCTGTAAATAACCTGTAAATATTTAAGAATGGTCCAGAAAAACAAGTTGTTGAGCGGCGAGTCACGTGGACAGGCTACGATGACACACAGACTTGTTTCATACATACCATACCCGTGAAGATCCGGGGTAGAATAGGTCTTCAGCAACCCATGCTTGCGATAAAGGGCGACTATGCTTGTCGTAAGAGGCGACGAACGGGATCGGGTGGTGAGGCTCGCTGACTTGGTTGATGCACGTCATCGTATCCCAATTGCGCGGATCGATGCTCATGATATCAATCACTGGATTGTCTGGTCAAGACTCGATTATTTACAGACCGCCGTCATATAGATGGAATATTGCTGAGTGCGGCGTTAAACAACAAGCCAGCCTACCAGCCATTCATGCACTGACTACCCGCGAAGATCCGGATTAGAATCGATTTTCAACAACCAATGCTTGTAACAAGAGGCGACAAACAGGATCGGATGGTCATGCTCGCTGACTTGGTTGATGCTTGTCATCCCACTTGATTAAATCGATGGTCATGATACCAATCACTGGACTGTCCGCTCCAGACTCGATTATTTACAGACCGCTGCCATATAGCTGGAATATTGCTGAGTGTTTTATTAAACAATAAACACACAAAACCATTCACTGTTTTATCCCACCACGGCTCTACTTCCAGGTACCTTGTGTCGTTCTCCATCAACTTCACACTGTTCGGGGTGTCAGTGGTCTTCCTTCTCCTCGCCTCCGAGAACATCCAGAGTCTGCTGGCTGACGTGCATGCCAACGTGTCCTTCTGCTATTGGCTCATCATTGTGGCGGGAGTTCTTACCCCGCTGTCGTGGCTCGGTACGCCCAAGGATTTCTGGTGAGAACGTTTTCTCGCCTTGCATAATACATATAAATACAGGTATATGATTAAAAAATATCATGCTTCTGTCTATAGACAGGGATGCTAACCACTTCCTGCTGGCTCGAAACCCAGATTCGTCCCGATTGTGATCCTTGGCTTGTCGACGCCATTCCGGTCAGTGTAGATGGCTGCAGCCTCGCCGGGTCTTGTCTTGACTGTTGTCAACGCCATACCCGTCAGTGTAGATGGCTCATCTCCCTTTTATAGCTCTTGCAGAGTCTAGTGGCTAAGGCGTCCCCCCCCCCCCCCCCCCCCCCCCCCCTCTTTCATGGCTTTAGGAAGTCTAATGGCTAAAGCGTCCCCCCTTTCATAGCTTTAGGAAGTCTTGTGGCTAAAGCGTTCTCCCATTTATAGCTTTGGGAAGTCTAGTGGCTAAAGCGTTCTCCCATATAAAGACTGGGAAGTCAAGTGGCTCAAGCGTTCTCCTATTGAAAAGTTTAGTGACTCAAGCGTTCTCCCATTGCGAAGTTTAGTTGCTACAGCATTCTCCCTTTTGTGTGAGTTGGCTGGAAGGGGTAGCCTTGTGGTTTAAATGTTCACCCGTCAATCTTAAACCCAGGTTATAATCCCCGGAAATGTACATTGGGTGAAGTAAATTACAGATGTGTCGCCTTGAATACAGCTGCTAGTGAAACATATAGTCACGCATCCCCTCTGTGTTTCCAGGCCTGTAGCTATAGGAGCCACGGTGGCCACCAGCATAGCCTGTGTTGTGCTGTTTTCCAACATCCTGGTTGACAATCATCACAACCACCATCCCGTGGTCCACACTCCACCTGGGTTCCTCACCTTCTTCACAGCCTTCGGCACCATCTGCTTCGCGTTCGGGGGGCACCCAGCGTTCCCCACCTTCCAGGCAGACATGAAAGACGAGTCCAAGTTTGGGAGAGCTGTGTTTTTCGCCTACATGAGTATGTACAATTGCTGACCTTTGATTGTTTGTTTGTTTGTTTGTTTGTTGTTTAACGCCGGACTCAGCAATATTCCAGCTATATGACGGCGGTCTGTAAATAATGCAGTCTGGATCAGACAATCCAGTGACTGACATCATGAGCATCGATCCACGCAATTGGGATACGATGACATGCATCAACCAAGTCAGCGAGCCTGACCACCCGATCCAGTTAGTCGCCTCTTTCGACAAGCATAGTCGCCTTTTGCGGCAAGCATGGACCTTTGATTGACAGGGTGGGTAGTTTAGTATGCAGACGCAGTAACAGGTCAGCGGTAAAAGAATCCATCGAAATAATGGCATCTTAATATTTGGTGTGCGTGTGTGTGTACGTGCGTGCGTGCGTGCGTGCGTGCGGGCACACTTAGCCGACATCCGGGTGCCTGATCTCTTTTAAATCATGTACATCATGTGAAGTGGAAATCCATTCAGTGCTTCTAGTTGTACCTTCTAGAATATCAAGTAAATGTCCTTGTACATCTTCCCGAGGCAAGCGTGTCCACTAGCCTGTATGAATCATAGTTTCTGCCCTTGCTACATTAGGACCGTTTTTCTTGCCTTGATTGTGGCGCCACCTCGCGTAGATCAGAGTTGTGTCCCTTATAATGAAAACGTGATATCTAGTCAGATCGCTGTTTATAGCTTGTATGACTTCAAAGATGACGACAACCTTGTTAATCAGATAACGAAAAACTTTCGCGGTTTCATCCCTGACAGACAGACAAAAGCAATCGTTGAGGGGTTTAAAGGTTGGGAAAAGACACATTCGTGTCAACAAAGGCCGGCAGCGGTAAATCACTTTCATACGAAGGTGTACCAGTTCTGGGAATGACTGTACTCGTCATAGCGCCGGTTAAGAGCACAGGTCTTGGGCGACTTCATTTAAAACTTGAAAAAACTTGTCTTCGCTTAATTGTTGAAAAGACTTCAGCGTCAAATCGATAATCTATGGCAGCGGCCATGTTTATGGAACCCGGATGTTGATTTTGTGAAACGTTCTCCGATTGGACTATTGATATGTGTAATAGTCCAATCATATTAAGCACAGGAAAGTGGGCTTGATTTGGCTAATAAGTAATAAATATGCTCGTGGAAGCTCTTGCTTCGGGAAGGTGATCCTAGTATTCTAAATAAAGGTTACTAACTTTATCAGTTGAAAACTGTTAGCTGAACCTCGTTTTCTGTGTTATTGACTTGGTTGTCTTTATGTTATGGGTGTGGTGAGTTTATAGATACTATTTCCTAAAAATGCTTAAAAAGATGGGACCTATCTGTCTTTATGGCATGGCTTTATGGTGAAATAAGGAGATATTTGCCTTGTTTTGGAGATGTTCCTGCCAGTGTCTACACCCCATCTAGCCTCGTGTCCCTGTTGTAGTTGTGTTGGCGATGTACCTGCCGGTGTCGACAGTCGGCTACTTCGTGTACGGCAAGAAACTTGATCCCAACGTGCTTAAGACGGTGAGCAGCGGCCCCATGCTGTATGTGGTCGAGATTGTCATCACCATCCATCTACTCTGTGCCTTCATCATCGTTCTCAACCCTTTCGCCCAGGAGCTTGAGGAGATCTTCAAGATACCAAAAGGTCCGTCGTTGACCACATTTATCATCATCATCCAGAATCACTATCACCAACGCTCCCATCTTCATCATCATCATGATCATCATCATCTTCATCAAGAATCACTATCACCAACGCCCCCATCATCATCATCATCATCATCATCATCATCCAGAATCACTATCACCAACAACCCCATCAAACTCATCATCGACATGAACATGACCACTGCAACATAGCATACATTAACACCACATATCATACTACGACAAAAAAGTTATGGATCACCCGATTATTTCATATTACTACAGCTAATTTTGCATGCCATGACAGAATTGGGCGAACCTTAACTTTTTGGCACGGA